CATGAACTGTTGGGGTGACACATTTTAAAGGTCCTCAGAGTCCAAAGCCTACTTCATAGAGGAATCGGTGTTCATCATGCTGGGCTGCTTCCAATAGTAAAGGAAGTTGTTGAAATGCTCTTTTGCCGTGGTGTCATTAAGGTAGGCTTAGTATTTTTAGAGCCTACACCATAAGTATATCTAGAATAAAAATTTCTGTACTCCTGATTGCTGTCACACTTGACGTCCCTTTGCGACGTTTCCATTACTTTTATAATCTCTTCCGGCAATTGGTCGTTTGTCATCTTCCTACAGGTGCTATTTTCAACAGAAACATTCGCTATGGGGGTTAATGCTCCGGCTAGAACGGTGAGGCTTTTCTGTTATTTTCTTTGCTGATGTAAATTTAGTGTTACAATGTTAAGTGGCTTATTCTTTAAAATATACGTATAACATGGATTTCATGTGGCATTTGTTACCGGAAGAGTTTAAGGTTATTGCTGAGAACTCTAAGGTTATTGCTGAGAATGTATTCCAATTTATTGTCTCCATTGTGTGGGAACTTTTTAACAAATGTGGTATTCACACATGTCCTCTATGAATTTTCTTGTAACTTTTCCATGATTTACGCTACAGGTTGTTTTTGATGCTTTGAGGAAGTTTGATGGAAAGGAATTCAGATCGTTGCTTCCTGGAGAGTACACTCAAATGGCAGGACGTGCCGGCAGAAGAGGACTTGACAAAACTGGCACAGTTGTTGTCATGTGTCGCGATGAAGTTCCAGATGAGAGTGATCTAAGGCGTATAATTGTTGGAAGCGCAACAAGACTAGAATCACAGTTCCGATTAACCTACATAATGATCCTCCATCTTTTACGTGTTGAAGAATTGAAGGTATCTTAATGTTTGGACCATTAATCTACCATCTCAAATAGTTGCATGCATGTAGTTTCCATGGCTTTCCAGCCCATTGGCCTTGGCAGGGCATGTGGTTTGGTACCAAGCTTTTCATTGGACATGTCCTGACTCGCCATTTCTTCAAATTGTAAGGTGGAGGACATGCTGAAAAGAAGTTTTGCTGAATTCCATGCTCAAAAGAAACTGCCCGAGAAACAACAACTTCTCATGCTGAAACGTTCCCTACCAGTCAAAACCATTGAGTAAGGCGAATCCCTTATCTTATGGATACTAGAAAGACTGCAAACTACTTAACTTCTTTATATGTATAGCACTAATATGTTTTAAAATGTTAAAAACAAAATTATTCTACCGCTTTGTTTGTGCCACCTCTATATTCATTTCCAGATGATTTTATGGATTAACCTATTGCTTTGTGCATCTAGATGTATTAAAGGTGAACCAGCAATTGAAGATTACTATGAGATGTATATGGAAGCGGACGAATGTAACAGCAAAATGTCGGAAGCAGTCATGCAATCTCCTCATGCCCAGCAATATCTTGTACCCGGAAGAGTAGTGGTCATGAAATCTGAAACGGTGGGGCCCAGTCTCCACCTCTCTTTTCTCTGGTTAATAATTTATGTTGCTCATTCGTGTAATTTTACAGGGCATAGACAATTTACTTGGAGTCGTACTGAAGGGACTTTCAAACAGACAATACGTTGTTTTGGTAATAAAATCTGAAATTCCACCACCAGAGAAAAATATGGTCAGCATTGGCAAGAAAAGCTCAGATCCGTCTCAAGGTTTCTTTATTGCGCCCAAGTCAAAACGTGGTTTTGAGGATGACTATTATTCGATGGCCAGCTCTCGAAAAGGTACCGGTGTTATCAAGATAGAGCTCCCGTACCATGGAGCCGCTGCTGGTGTAGGGTACGAGGTCAGAGCGTTTGATAACAAAGAATTCTTGTGTATATGCGTTAGCAAGATAAAGATTGATCAGGTGCGTCTACTCGAGGATGGGAACAAGGCAGCTTTTTCTCTGACGGTTCAACAGCTTTTGGATCTGAAATCAGACGGAAACAAGTTTCCTCCTGCTCTAGACCCAGTTAAAGGTTTCCTCAACTAAATTATAGCCCCTGATTATTCTCTTCTGGCCGCAGATTCATTTCCCTCATAAACTCACTTCATGATTCTATTTCAGATTTGAAGCTGAAAGATGCTGAGCTTGTGGAGACGTACTATAAATGGACCAGGTTGTTACAAAAGATGTCCATGAATAAGTGCCACGGTTGTGTCAAATTGGATGAGCACATGAAGCTAGCTAGGGAGATTAGGAAACATAAGAAAGATCTCAAAGATCTCGAATTCCAAATGTCCGATGAAGCCTTATTACAGATGCCCGCGTTTCAGGGCAGGGTACGATCAAATGAGAAACGTTAACATACATCTTTGTTTCCTCTTTTATGTATGATGGATTTGAGTAACATGTAGAGCTCTAATATCTTCCTGCAGATCGATGTTTTGAAGAAAATTGGGTGTATAGATGATGACCTTGTCGTCCAAATCAAAGGCCGTGTAGCCTGCGAGATGAATTCTGGGGAAGAATTGATTTGTACAGTGTGTCTGTTCGAGAATCAATTCGAAGAATTGGAACCAGAAGAAGCAGTGGCTATAATGTCTGCCTTTGTGTTCCAACAGAAAAACACTTCGGCGCCTTCCCTTACTCCCAAACTAGCTAAGGCTAAGCAAAGGTATGATGCGATCACACTCGGTCCCTTAATGTTACAGTCAGTTTAGTTATTGACCCTCTCTCGGACAGAGTCTATGATACAGCAATCAGACTTGGTGAGCTTCAAGCTCAATATAACTTACAAATAGACCCTGAAGAATATGCACAGGAGAATCTCAAGTTTGGTCTGGTCGAAGTCGTTTATGAATGGGCAAAGGTCTTAGCAATCTTTATTATTACATCTGAGCACATTCACACATCTTACTGAAATTATTGTATGCTTGGTATCTTTACAGGGGACTCCATTTGCAGAGATTTGTGAATTGACTGATGTCCCTGAAGGTCTTATAGTTCGGACCATTGTGAGATTGGATGAGACGTGCCGTGAGTTCAAGAACGCAGCCGCCATTATGGGGAACTCAGCGTTACACAAGAAAATGGATTCGGCTTCAAATGCTATAAAACGCGACATCGTGTTTGCGGCTTCTCTGTATGTGACTGGAGTGTAAGATTTGATTTATGAACGCTAAACAGACACTTTTTTCTTAGAATAGTACAGAAAATCATTATATCATGTCTTCAAAATGCAAATGTTATCAAAATTTTTGGATTTGTTACATTATTTTATGTTAAATTAATCGATTTTTAACGCCGAATATGTACTTGGATAAGTAATTAACCAATGAAATACTCAACTTATTATTTCCTTAGTCAGATTGTATATTAATAGAAACGGGTCGCATCCAAGTAGAACTGAGACTACAAAAATGGTTTCAAATACACTCTCAAAATGTCTACCAAAAGATTCACCACCGAAACTATGAAACACGCTGTCCGGTTAACATAGCCATCAACTCAGGCACTAGCTTGCCCTGCTTCATCACGTACCTGTTCGAGAACTCCTCATCAGTACAAACGAAGACAGACGACATTGGAGGGTTTCCATTTCTGATCAATCCTTTCGACATGAGAGCTTTGATTACGTTACACCTTGGCACAATCCTCTTCTCCATGCTGTATCCAAACACCGAAGGTACCAACACCACAGCCTCTGGTGGCCATTTCATCTTCTTCACCAGAAACTCAAACTTCTTCTTTAACGACTCTGCAGAATATCCAAACCACTGAGGAAACCGCTTGATCATCATCTTATACTCATCTCTGCTGAATCCTAACCCTACAAACGTTTCAACAGACTCCAGTATCTTCTCCTCTGAAGAGCGTATACATTCTGGACGCAGCTTCAACACAGCAAGAATCTCTTCCTCGACAAGCCCACACTTCTTGAGTGTTTCAAACGTCTGAGCTATCTTCTTCTCCGAGAATTTCAGAAAGAAAGGCCATTTCTTGAAGATTCTCCATATATCTTCTTCGCTAAACCCTAACCTTTTGTACACATTCACCTTCTCTTCAATCGTCTTATCACTCATTTCATAGACTACATGCAGAGCTTCCACAAACTTTGACTTGGTCGGATCAAAACCCATGTCAACAACTTTCTTCAGTGTCTCATCGAACTTCTCTTTCCCACAGACAGGTTGACACCTGGAGATAAGCAGAGAGAACAACAAGTTCTGAGGCACACCCAACTCTTTCAAAACAGATATGTTTCTGATCCTGTTCTTAACCTTACCTTCTGTCCAAGAAGGAGACAACTTACCTTCTTGCATAATGTCTTTGACGAAATCATAGTACAAGCTAAGAGATTTCCCCACTCTCTTTTCCAAGATCTTAGGAACTTTTGAGACAATCTCCGCAAGCTCAGAGCTTGATGCTCCTCTGTACAGCAAAGCCTGGAGCTTGGGACGAAGTGACGTCTCGGCATCTTTTATAAGCAGTCGTGGGTAAGTGGTGATGATCCTAGAGATCTGAGAATCTTCGAACCCATTACTTCTGAGAAGAGTTAGAACTGAATCTGGGTTTGCCTTGTCCTCGAAGGTGACTTTCCTCGAGATCGATTCAGCGAGTTTCCTAGCTAAACCCAATGATTCAACGAGGTAAGATACAGTGAAAGTGTTGCCTTGAGGTGTCGTATTTGCAGAAGAGAAGGAGTTGGAGAAAGCCAATGCATTTTGAATAAAGTTCACTGAGACTCGCCATTTCTGCAACTCCACCGACCTTCTTCCCTGGAGTAACAGAGAATACATGACAACCCAAGACAAAAGCAATAAGAACCAAACAGCTAAACTCTCTCAACCCCACCGACCGATAAACCCTAATAATTTGGATTAAAAAATAAAAAATAAAAATGAATAATTTATAATTGGGCTAATGGGCCGAGCTAAGCCCATTTGGAGAAGACAGAAGTGGAGGGAAAGTTTGGCGCCATTCACTCACAACTGGTCTACATTATAATGGCGGAACTACGACGCCTCTTCTTCACAGCACCAACAAGTCTGCCTCAGTTGAAATTAGGGTTTCTCTACTCGCGGCGGTTATCTTCAACAACTCGTCTTCCTTTTCCCACAATGGCCTGCGTCGAAGCGAAGAGCAACAGTCCCGATGTCAAGGAGCCATTGGCGAAACTCCAGAAGCTCGATTCCAGACCCTTCTTCAAAGTGAAGAAACTTTCAGAGAAAGCTGTTTTGCCTACAAGAGGCTCTCCTCTCTCTGCAGGCTACGATCTCTCCAGCGCCGTGGATTCCAAAGTTCCGGCGAGAGGCAAGGCGCTTATCCCGACCGATCTCAGTATCGCCGTCCCTGAAGGAACCTACGCGAGAGTTGCTCCGAGATCTGGTCTTGCCTGGAAACACTCGATTGATGTCGGAGCGGGAGTTATTGACGCTGATTACAGAGGACCCGTTGGTGTGATTCTCTTTAATCACTCCGATGTTGATTTCGAGGTGAAGGTGGGAGATCGAATCGCGCAGCTGATTATCGAGAAGATCGTGACGCCGCAAGTGATGGAGGTTGAGGATTTGGACGCTACTGTTCGTGGTGAAGGTGGTTTCGGGTCTACTGGTGTTTGAGTTTCTATCTTTTTCGTTGAGCTTTGGTTTGTCTCTTAGTAACTTTTAGGGTTATTTCGTCGAACAGATTGTGGGCATGGTCATTTTAAGATCTTTTCTTCATTATAATTACTCGAAAAGGCTAATCTTGAAAACGGATTTGATAAGATGAACTAAATGTGATAATCCATGAAACAATCTTACACTTAATAAATCAAGAAGAGTAGACACTGCTTCACAAAAAGACCAAGCCAAACCAAGAAGCTTTTTTTTGGTACAGGTGTGTCCTAACAAAATCAAACGAAAACGGAGACAATGGATGAACAAATAAAAAACATAACCGCTAAACCCTTTTTTATATATATTCACAAAATGAGGTGTTTCAGGCGAATCTAGGCTTGGGCGTGGCTGAGTATACAGTATCGTTGTGGCCTGACCCGAATATCTGACTCCAGTATTTATTACCTTTCTTGGTTTGTGGACAGATCTGGTTCGGCATAAGAATGAGTCTCCCTTCGTTTTTCAGAGACTTTTCAAAGTGTTCCAATACTTTGACAATCTGCCAGAACTCTGGTCTCTTTTCTGCTTGCACCGACCAGCACTGCTCAATTAGCTCTTTCATGGCCGCTGGACATTTCTTTGGTATCACCGGCCTAACGTTCTGAACCAATACCAACATAAAAACTCGTCTAAATCAAACGGGAATTCAAAAATGTCCATCACTCAATCATGAGATGATGCGTTTACCTTGTGCATGACTGCGAAAGCAGCTTGGACAGGACCCATCTCCTCAAATGGTAATGCTCCAGCTGCCATTTCCCATAAAACAAGTCCAAAACTATATACATCTGACTTACCTCCATGTGGTTTCCTTCTCAACACTTCAGGTGCCATCCACCTATACGTTCCTGTCTCAGCCCCCAATATGTCACAGTACTCCTCCTCGCACGCTATGCCAAAGTCTGCAATCTTCAAGTTGAAATCTTTGTCAATCAACACGTTCTCCGGCTTAAGATCCCGATGAACTATCTTTACTGAGTGAATATATTCCATTCCTCTCGCAATGTCTAGACCAAACTTGATTAGCTGTGGCAAAGGAAGGGATTTCTTCTCCAGCTTGTGTAGATATGATCTCAAAGACCCATTAGCTAAGTACTCCGTGATGATACAGTTTCCAATATCCACTCCCACAAACTGAATTAAAAACCAAAACAAACCATTCAATATAAGCACACCAAAGACATTATTCACAATATAAGATCACCTTGACAACATTACGATGGCTTAGACGAGACATAAGAGTGGCTTCCTTGGTAAACTGTTTCTCCAAACGAGCTCCCAAGAACCTGTCTTCGTTATTATCAGGCGCTTGAGTAATCTTGAGAGCTACAGCTTCGCCTTTGTACACTCCATGGTAAAGTTTGCTAAATTTCCCATGCGCAAACAGGTCTCCACGGGTGAGCTTAGAGGTATCAACACGGTGCTCTTCAAGCACGCCCATAGCAGTAACTTCATTACCCGCATGATCAAAGGACTTTGAAGACCGCATCTCCTTCTTGCTCCTCGGCCTGTCCTTCAAAGGACCTGAGAAAGACAGAGGCCGTAGAGCGTTTGATAGTTTCTCAAAGGAACTTTTGCGGGACAAGTTGCCCTTGGTTGCTTTCTCTGGTTCTACTCTTATGGGATGTGGAGTTGAGAACCTCTTGACGCCGGACTTTGCTTCTTTGAAAGAGTCAGAGACAGTCATCTGAGGAGACGGAGAAACCGCCCTCTTTCGGTTGGTGAAAGGGTTTCTTTGAATCTCAGTGGCTTGCTGCTTAGCCTGAGAAGGTCCAACTATTGACTTGAGATCAGAGGGTGAACTGAGAGGCATTCGTTTCAAACCAGAAGTCTTGTCTGGGTTGGTTGTAATAGGGATGGAGTGTGATCTAGGGGTGATGACACGATGACAAATAGTGTGAGAATACTTGGTCCTCCTTATCCAAGAACTAGACTCTTCTCCTCCCTCCATGTCTCCTCAAGAAAAGAATCTCAGAAACACATCTCAAGACAAAACACAACACTTATCCTCCTCAACGGAGTATAAGATAAATATCTAAATTCCAAAATATTCTACGCCTAGAAACTCGAACGCATCACCCAAATCGCCGGAGATGTGATTCCACCAAACTATTTTATTTCATCAACCAATTATGTATTTTAGAATACAGTCAACGAAGCGAAATAAAAAACAACAAAAATAATTCTGAGAACGTACCTGAAACACGAAACTAAGGAGGTTGATGGTGGGAGAAAGAGGTGAATCAGAATCCGGCGATTGGATTGCGTGCGAAGAGAGGAAGAAGGACGATGGAGTTTGGAGGAAGCTACGAAAGGGAATTTTGACGACTTTTTTTTTTATGGTTGGTAGAAGAAGACGAAAGCAGAAGGTCTTTAATGGCTTCAGATATATTATTAAACATTCCTCAAATATTTTTTACAAACTCTATGACCATTTCTCCCTGATTTTGTCAAACAAGAAAAACGCGGACGAACGTACATGAATTTAAACGATACCGTTTTCGGGATGTCTGTCAAGTGTCAACGTCGCAGATATTCTTTGGTATATTCTCTTGTTTTGGTAATTATTAGTTCTTTCGACGCTTTACTGAAAAGTGTTTGTGGTCCAACGGTTATGATGATTGCCTTAGAAACAATAGTTCCGGGTTCAACTCCAGCAGATGCATTTTTCCTTTTGAAAGTTTGTATATCTATTCTATTAATTTTGAATCATGACCAGTTGATATATATTGTGTCCAACTTAAAATATAACTGTAGTGATATGTTAATCTACATCGATCCATATTTTTGTAACTGCATCGAAGTGGTTAACTGCATTAAATTTTAGTACACTTCTTAACTTGAATATTCTTATAGTTACTTACATCAACTTAATGATATAGGTGTGATGTGATCCAATTATTTTAATAGAATAAATTAAAAGCTTTTATTAATCATTTAATAAAAATATTATACAAAAAGGACAAATGTGACTAAAAACACAAATATAGAAAATAAATTTCTAGAAAAAATGTATAAAAAAATGACGAAAGTTTGTTATAAAAAGACTTATATGTTATTAAACTTGAAGAAAAGATTGTCAATATTGAAACAACTTCAAACCTTCCACCTCTATATAAACTAACAAAATTAAATTGTACATAGTAAATTGGTCCAAAATCCTAAAACTATTTCCATATTAGCTATCTGTCTTGAACAGTAAATTTATAGGATCCAGACAACACAGACATTTTCGCCCTTGACGAATGTCACGCGCGCCTGCAAAGTAGTAATCTATAAGGGAATCTCCAACAATGACACCAAATTTGATGTTAAAATTACACCAAATTTAGTGTTTTAGTGTCAAATTTCTTTTGTCATTTCCAACAATAATACCAAATTTTACACCAAAGTAATATTATATATTATTCAATTTTTAGCTCTCATTGTTTGTAATTGATAAATAATTATTTATCACATTTATCTATTATGTTTGTTAAATTTTATAGTTTTATGTTCATAAAATTTATTTACATTTATATTTTTGGTTTATCAATATTATATATTTATGTATTTATTCTATATAAAATATTAGTTATATGCAAAACTACCAATTATTAACAATGAAAAGTAGATAATAAAATAACATTTCTTTTAATAATTTTAATTGTTAGTAATACAAGTTTAACTATTTATAAAATAAATTGTGATTTTAATATTTGATAAATTTAATAGTATTACATAAACTGTTAATTAGTTACTATTAAATCTAGGTTATAGTATTGATTTCTATATTTTCTAAAATATTAATTAAAATTTTCTATTTTTAAAGTAAGAATTAAAAAGTTCTTTGATATATTTTTAAAAAGTTTGACGTATATGATAATACTTTGTAGTGATTTATTAATAGAAAATAAAAAGTAATTATAGAAAATGATTTAAAAATAAAATAATACATTATATTTATGTTTAATTACAAATTTGAACTAATTAACAATACTTATTGAAGTATATTATAAGTGAAATGTAATAAAATATATATTTTGAGATTTAGGTGATGATCGTTTACATGTTTTTTAGATTCTAGTTTTTGGCTTTTGGTTTTTAGTTTTTAGTTTTTAGATTTTTGTTTTTAATTTTGGTTTTTGATTATGCTGTAGCTTTTAGTTTCTTCAAAAAACTTGAATGGCAACATTAGATTTTGATTTTTGTTTTTCAAATTAAAAGAAATTATCAGTAGTAAAATCTATTTATTTAAAAAAAGATAAAACAAAATTATATTGTTATCACTAAAATAAATAAATTTATATAAAAATTTGTTAAAATAGGTATTATTAAATAAAACTCATGTCTACATTTTAAAATACATTTAATTTTATATCTCCATGAAAAATACACAATTCATAGTTAAAATTTGGAAAAAAACTACATAAAAATTTAGTTATATATATTAAAATATGGTAAAACTGACTTAAATTTATGCAATTCAAATATTACAAAATAAAAATGCAATAACTGAAAGTTAAAGCACATTTAGTTATAGAGAATTAATAATAGTATTTTATCAAAATAAAAATAAAATATTTATTTATTGTGAAAATACATAAAAATATGTAATTAAATTATGGACAAAACATGTAAAACTTTTATAAAAGTAAATTTAAATAATATATTTTATTTTATTGGCAAGTTTAAGAAAATGTTATTAATATGTATTGTATATGCTAAGAAAATGCTTTATACTGAAAATTATTTCTTATAGTAGTTATTATTTTTATTTATTTTAAATGTACTAATGCATAAATATAGCAAAAAATAAATAAAAAGGAAACAAAATTGGAATAGCACGGCAAGTTTTGATAAAAACCATGAAAACTTAGATTTTGGTTTCTCTTTTGAAAAAATCAGTTATTTTAAAAACCAGTTTCCCTATATTATAGGGAATCTATTTCTCTAAGAACTCCATTGTTTAAAAAATAGTTTTTCTAGAAACAAAAACCAAAAACCACTTTAAAATCTGTAAACAATCAACCTCTTAGTGTGATGAATATTGTTACACCAACACTATTCATTTTACACCAAATTTGGTGGGATGGTATCAAGTTTGATGTCTTGTTGGAGTTGAATTTATACCAAATTTGTTGTTTTGGTGTCATTGTTTGAGATGGCCTAAGTGTATTTCGCGGATTTAAAAAATCTTTGGTAAATATTTGGCTGAGATTCACGGTTTTGGAGTTCCAGGGAGGCGCGTTCTTACACGTCACGGCGAATCGGGAAGATTCTTCCGGTGCAGAGGCCTCAAAGATAGTCTGATTCTCTTGATGGATCTATCCTCAGGGATGGCGGTTTCTCAAGGTGTGTATCCCCTCCGGTGTGGTTTGCTCTCGCCGCCAAGATCTGTCTGGAGTTGTGTGAGAGATACTTGGAGTTGTTAAGATGGCGAGGACACGACGCTTGCGGTGATTAGGGTTTGGGAGTCGGTGAATCTTTCGATTCCGACATCAGTAGACTGCAGGAAGCCTCCGGCGGTGGTCGTTCCTAGACTGTAAGTGTCGGCAGATGATTATGACTGTAAATATATGATTAAAATTAAAAATATATACCACTTTTAACATGATGATTAAGACTATATAGTAAATAAAATAGGAGATAATTAATTTTTTCATTCTATAAATGATAACTTAAAACACATTAAGTTATTGTAAAAATATTTACATAGATTTATAAGGATTTTTAAAATTTAATATATATATATATATATATATATATATTTAAAATGAAAAATATCATGATTAAAGTAGTTACAAAGATTTTATATTATTAGCTTTAATGAAATACATGTATTATATAGTTTGCTAACGTTGATATATCTTACCAACATATTAGATTTTATTTTTGAACATAAATATTTTATATCTACGAAAATAAAATATAAAAACTATCAGTTTAATAAAATTTTATTATATTTAGCTCAACATAATAATTTTTCTTTTAATATGATTGGTTATGATAATATGATATAATATTTTTTTTTTTTTTTTTATAAACTTTAATTGAATATATTAATGTATAATAATATTTCAAACTACTTTTTAAATTAATGAAAATATTTAAAGATAATATCACAAATGAAGATCTTGTAAAAATCTTTTAAAACATATTTGTTAGAATTTTTAAATAAATAAATATATTTATATTTAAAATGAAAAGATATCAAAATATATTATGATTAAAATATTTTAAAGATTATATATATTTGATATCAGTCAAATTACCATAAGTAGTGAATTACTCTCTCAAATAAGAGGTTCAGTTATAGTACTTAGGGATCGAATCCACAAGAACTCTAGGATTACTCAAAAGATTCAAGTTTCTAAAATATAGCTAGACTAAAGATGGGTTTAAACGGTTTAAAACAATAAGTAAAATAAAACAAGCAGATGATTATTCAGTAACTTGGATTGGAAGTAGTTTTCAGTTAGGAAAGTAGCTAGACTAAGGTATTATCTCAGGTATCAGTATGTAATTGTTTTCTGACTTTAAGGTTATTTGTTCATGAATTCAAACATAAATGACGAAACCAAACAGGTTTCCTTGTCTAGATATCGGATCTCAACTTGTAGTTTTGATCAAGAAAAAGAGTCGATCGATTATCCTTGTGGACAATCGATTGATACACCTTTCAAGTAATCGCTCGATACGAGGATGCTCGTGACGATCGACAACTCTTCTAGCAAGCTTTACGAACAAGTTATTATTATCCTCCAACTCTCTAGACCAACTGTCGTATGAATCTTGTTGGGGTCAAAAACGGTAATCTCGAAATCAACGTCTACGATTACTTCTCCTTACATTCTCTAAAAAAATCTCGGGCCAAGAAAACAAGAAAGGATCGAAACCGAGCAACCGTCCAGCTCGCCAATGGGCGAGCTGACCACACATGTGACCAGCTCGCCCATTGGCGAGCTGAAGACATCTGTCTAGCTCGCCAATGGGCGAGCTGACCACAAATGTGACAAGCTCGCCCATTGGCGAGCTAAACGCATCTGTCCAGCTTGCCAACGGGCGAGCTGAATACATCTGTCCAGCTCGCCAACAGGCGAGATGAACCAACCATCTATGCCCCTCAAATCGATCGTACTCTGAGTTGTGATCAGAATGTCTTTTGTTTTGTCTCAATCCGCCTTACCGTTTGAGTTTTACGATAAAAACCGTAAAAGACGCATTTTTTAGTAAAACCTCGAGTAAATCATACAAAACGGCAACGGTTAAACGAAACACCGAACATTGCCAAACTATATGATTAACTCGAGATTTTTTTTATAAGAAATCGCTAAAGACGCGTTTTCTCGTAAAACCTTGAGTAAATTGTATAAAATGGCAACGGTTAAACAAAACACCGAACATTGCCAAACTATATGATTAACTCGAGATTTTTATAAAAAATCGCTAAAA